CGGGCGGCTTCATACACCCATCTGTATATCCCGCAACCGCGAATGTCTACAAGCACTTCCACGGTTTTTGGCATTACGTTTGTGCCAGCAGCGTGCCCGAAGTGTCTCGCATCCAAGGCGGAAGCATGACTGTCGCAATGTTGAGCTGGGCATCAGCACAAATTTGCTGTTCGCCTTCCATGCCTGATTCACACGTGGTGCCGTGTGTTATCGCATGTTCACGCTGTTTGGGGATCGTTTTTGAGCTTTTCCACTTCGGAGCCTTTGTGCGATTTCGATTTCCCGGTTTCGAAAAGGGGAGGAGACCGTCGCCAAGGCATGCTGAGGCATCATGGAAAACTTGGATCCAGCGTTCAAAGCTACGCGCCGCGATTCGTTCGATGACTGCCTTGCCTCAGTGCCTGATCTGCCAGCGCTGGGGCCAGACACTGTTCTAAAGCCCGGCTGCCACAAGAACCTTGAGGGCTCTGGGAAGGCCCTGCGCGGGCTTTGGCTTCTGGCATGCTGACAAGATTTGGGAGCGTTGGTGTTCAAGGGTGACCATCTTGTCTTCGGACCTTGACCCATGGAGGAGAGGCAGAGTTTGAGGTCGGCTGGAAGCACAACTCTCACCAGCTTCCGGATTCCGGTCTCGCCTCATTACCACTGGTAGCGGACACGGTCAGTCAAGTGTTGGTAACCTGAGCTTGCTGTCGTTGCCTTCTCCCACTGGGAAGGCACAGATGCAGACTGCATCTGCGGCTGCGGCCAAGGCTCATCGGCCCGTCTGTGCCCCTAATGCTCCACACTCACATAAGCCGTGGCCTCTCCTGAGAAGCACAGGCACTGCTGAGGATACTGGCTGCCAGGCTCCCTTTTCAACTCGTCCCGCTGTCTCTGGCTGGCCAGCTGCGATGCTTGCCGGAGCCTTTGTGTCAGCACGCTTGAGGGAAACGATAGATCGGCAGACAACTGCAACATGCACGAGTTCGCGGGGCTAAGGCTACCGTCGCCATTGCCACGGCAGCCCTTCGTTCCACACCACGCCGTGCGCCACGTGCACAGGCAGGTGAAGAGTAGTGAGTCGGCATCATTCTCTGGACCTGAGCTAAGTAGGCAATGCGAGAGATCGTGATTGCATACCCGATTACCATGCTTGGCTTGCTGTTCCTGGAGGTGGTGCTTACTCGTTGTCTCCCCGTTTCCTCTCCAATGCCAGAGGTGGGTCTTGCTGTTTTTGGCCGACTGTCGCAGCCAACAGTAGTTCGGTCGTGGCTCGATCATAGAAGCTAAAACAAGCATGTTGTAAGATTGTGGCTTGTCATGTGTTTCGATTTGTTTTGAGCTCATACTAATGCTGACCCTCTGCCTGGGTTTTCTTCTCACCCTCCTGCACTTCTGTGGAACCTTTGCAGGTAAAGAGCCAGGCGACTCATGAGATTGTGGCTGGTGCATTGGTCAGGTCTCCACTCAATTGCCAACTCCGACACCTGTGACACCAGAGTGGAATGAGGAATGGCTTCAGGGTTGCAGGGATCCCCGGCAGTGGTGTCGGGAGCAACACAGTAAGACAACAGGCCCTGATCTCCTTCGAGATGGCGGCGGAGAAGGCTTCCAGCATATGCCTGCAGTCACAGGGAGACAAAGGGGCACAAAAGTCGCTACTGTATGCATCACAAAGCCGTCACAAAGCTAAATACTCCTCAGGAATGCAGCTTGCCGCACGATTGTGTGCAGAAGGCGCCGGCATTGACAAGAAATGCATGGACCATCACTGTAGAGCTGGCATGTAGTTTGCACCTGCGCAAGGTCAGCGATGCACCGAAAAGCAGTGGCACTGCTCAAAGCCTGATTCTGAGGGAAACTCCCTCATGTAACTTGCATCACCCGTACAGCTGCATTTTGCAAACTCGCTCAGGCCCCCGCCCGACACCGCGCCGGTCCCGCGACTTCCATCAGGTGAGCGGACAGCCAGTGGAAGAGCCGCATCAGAATGTGGCACCGTTGGCATCGCACTTTAGTCAACTTTAGTCGCATCGTCATTGCTTGCTCTTTTCAGCGCAGGCTGGTGCCAGACGTGAGCGTCGTCGCGTCGGGTTGCTTAACGAGGGTGCATATCTTCACCGATTGCGGATAGAGCTAGATCATGTGCTATGCCACGCAATGCAAACCAAGATCGGCAGCCGTCTGGTGCAGCACTTCGAAGTCCGTGCGAGCCAGCCATCTTTCGAGCCAAGCAAGGTGCCGCACATCTCGAGATGTCTCGAGTATCGGTATCACGGTATGATTGCACTTGCGATCATGTCCGCTCCGCTCCGAGGTGCCAATGGTCCTGCAGGAGGCGATGCAGCATGGGCCACGCCCACGCACAGCCTCCGGGCGCGAGTCGCGAGACTGCACCAAACCGGATGAATGCTGCCTTGCAGCGCAAGTGAGTAACAAAGGTCTAAGCCCTTGGTCGAGGCCGGAAGCAGCTTTTGCGCCATTCTCATGTGCCAGCAAGCTGGTTTTGGCTGGTTCTTCTTCTGGTCCACCTGGTAGAACACACTCACCCAATCTCATCTAGCCAAAGCCTGTGCTGGCACTTTCAAGTTCTCAGTCGACTGCCTTTCCAGGCTCCAGGCCTATCTGCATCCCTAGACATTGGCCCGGGGCACAGTCGCCGCTGCATAGACAGTTTAGGAGGCCGGCAAGCCCAGACGACTTGTGATTCTGATCATCGGCCTTTTTCATCACAATCATCATCGTCAACATGATCCTCATCACCAAGAATTATCCGGTGCTGTAGCTGCAGCACTGACACGGTTCCATCCAACATGCGACGTGTAATGGTTAATTTCAGTGACCGAGGATTAAAATCATTCAATGTGGAACGCGGCGGCCTCATCGCACGTCGAAGAAACCGTGTTTTCTGTACGTCTCGGAGCAGCTGCTTTGGTGAAGGACAATGGTTTCAAATCCAACTGCCTCTTGCTCCACCTTGAGAGTTTTGGCCCCTTGCGGTTGTCGTGGATGATGCATATCATATATGTTTACCTATCTATCGGTACAGTATATTGTTGTATAACGTAACATACTATAACATAATACAGTACAACATGAATAATAATTTTACCTGAGTATTATTCTGAATATTCATTTCAAGAGTCAGGTTAACAATGTTCATATGAATACGAAAATTAAGATGATGATTCATATTCATGCGAATATTAACACTAATATTCATAGTAATGTATGCCAACTTTAGCATGAGTATTAATCTGAACATTAAGACTACTAGCAATAGTAATACTACTAGCAATACTAAGAACATGAATATGAAGACTAGTTTTAATGCTATTGCCAATATTAAGTTTAATGCTCACGCCGTTACTAGTACTAGTACTATTACTAATACTAAGACTCTGACTATGAGTAAGACGAAGACTGAGACTGAGACGAAGACAAAAACAAATACTGGTACTAATACTAATGCTAATGCCTACTTCTGTTGCTGCTCCTGCTACTGCTACTGC